TTCCTAAAGTATGAGAGAAATTGCAAATTTGAAGAGTGATGCTCAGGATGGGTGAGGGCTGATAGACATTTACTCTGGAGGCATGCAAATATTGATAGCAACATTCCTTTTTTGGTGGGTGGGTGTGTTCCTTTTTTTTTTTAATCATATTTATTGAAGTTTCCAAAACATAAAAAACAAAAAAAAAGAAAAAAACAAAAAGGAGAGGGAAAAAAAGGGAAAAAAGCATTTGAAACCTTATTTTCATTAACATCTTTCCAGGACTTCCCCACCCCTCCCCCTCTTGTATTCCATTTCCATTTAATTAGTTCCACAAGTTTTTACCCCAAATTTAAAACTAATTATATTTAACCCAATATTCAATTTAGTTCATCTTATATAATCACTTTCCCTTAAAAATCCACCTTCTTTCAACTTTAAATTCCCCCCCCCCTAAGGACGACCCCAATTCCCTTCCACGAGTTCCCCTTTTTAATACACACAGAAATTAAAAGAAATAATAAAAAAAAGATTCAGAATATAATTTTACACCCTTTGGATTCCAAATCTCCCTCCCCCCTTTCCCGGTATCGATCCCCAATGTCCATCAGTCTAACTGCTATCAGCCTGGAGACCTCACGTCCATGTCCAAATCTCTCTCAGCTCCACTTTGCCGGTTTTCTTGATAATCTTTAACTTCAAACACCCAATCTTAAAAAAGCTGTATCTCAAGAAAGTCCATTTTTCTTCCATCCACACCTCTATATTTAAGAGTAAAACTCAAATTCTGTTTCTTATACCAGGCACAGCCAACTTTTTCTAGTTTCCTTCCCATCTTCCCTGCTGAATTCTACAAAAGCACTGAGGCTAAAGCACATCTGAGCAATCAGATTTTGGGGGTATTGCATTAGTTTTCCTGATTATAAGCACTACTCTCTCGTTTTCTAGTACTCCTGTCACATTGCAGCACCTATTGCATTATGGAGCTCTGACATTTTGATTTCATGCCCACCAGTGGTCATGGTGCAACACAACAATGAATATCATAAGACAACATCACTCTTCCCTGTTTTTCGCACATGCATGCCTCTGTTTCCCCTTGATTCCGTGAAAACAGCAGGAAAGAACTGTATGCTGTGATAGTGCCCTAAAGTTCATCACTTTACTCCCAAGATTTTCCACTTTAAAGGGGGTTGCAAATGGTTTCTTTTCTGTTAGCAATTAACATGGAAATGAGCACTAAACTGTCACAAGACTCCCCTTGATTTCCAGAATTGGCATTTAGGTCACGTGAAAGCTCAAATATAACACAGAAATTAACAGGGAAATATTGGGGAAATGAAATGAGCTTCTGTGTGAATGGAGCCTCAGGAGGAGGAAAGTGAGGAAACCACATGGACTGGTTGACATAGGAAAGAAGGAAGTTATGGGGTGGCAGAAGGCAGATTGAATACATCCGGAGAAAACCAGGTTGGGAAAGTGTGCTCTGGCAGTCTCTACTTGTGTTCTGGTCCTTCCCCCCGCCCCCCATAAACCACTCTCCTTCAGCCTTTTCAAGGATATAACATTTCCTTGAGAATACCTCACCAATTCAACTAATCAGCTGGCTTTAGTTGATTAATCTGCTAAGAAAGCCAGCTCAGCCTGCAACCTGGAAAAAACATATATTCAATAATTTGCATCTGACAAGAGTGTAGCAATCCAGTGCTATTAAGCACTTTGAAACAATCCATCATAACAGCTTGGCGGTGCTAAAGAAATAGCTGAACACCAGTTTTATAAATTATTTCACATCTCTCTCTCTCTCCTCTCTCTCTCTCTCTCTGTTCTCCATCCCCCCCACCCCACCCCAAGGCTGACTCCCCAGATGCAGAGTTTTTAAAAACTCAGCTCCTGCTAATGGGGAAGGAACACCCCCCTTAAACTCAAGAGTGCCACAATTACCTGCTGATCTGCTTAGGAAATTCTCCTCTGTCAGCTTTCTTTTTGTCAAATTTAGATGCTTCTGAGTTATATGGTGGAGAATGCTTCATTCGCTTTAATTTAAATAGACACACAAATAAACAGGAGAGTGTCTATTTCAGGACTAGGCAATTGGTTCTGGATTTGTGTGTGAGAGAGAGAGTGAAAGAGAGAGGGGGGGGGAGAGAATTTTGAACTTCCTTATGTGCGTCTTGGAGGCACACTATCCGCAGTTTGGGGAAAACAGAGAAACATAGTAAGTTGCCTTACAAACCAAGTCGGACCACTGACATATCAAGCTCAGCATTGTCTACGTCAGGAGTAGCCAAGACGGTGCTCTCCACATTTGGCTGGACTACAGCTTCCTTCATTCCTGACCATTGGCCAGTCTGGCTGAGACTGATGGGCACCACATGACTGCCCCTGTTCTATCGCAGTGGCTCTTTGGGATTTCAGATCCAGCTGCCTTTCCCAGCCCTTCCTGGAGATGCCTGCGACTGAACCTGGAACCTCCTGCATGCAAAGTGTGCTCTACCACTGTATCTCTTTCCCATCTTCAGTGGGACAAGTGTCTTCCAGTTAAAGGGGTCTTGCCTGTTCCAGCAGCCGCTGGAACTGTAAGGAAACTGTGGATCTTCTGAGGCTTTCAGGACAGAGTCCTCTGACTCTCAGCAGTATGATGGGAAGTGGTAACAAGTTGGCTCCTGATGCAGAGAAGCTTCTGGGAAAGCAGGTGAGCCTGGGGTCACTGTTAAGATCCATTCCCTCTCCCACTTACTCCCAGTCTATGGGAGTCTATGGGCTCACTCCTCAAACCTGGCAGGCCTGACCCTTCCTATAGACCTTCTTAGATAGACTTCCTGGGGACCTCAGGTTCCCTGGAAAGCAGTTTGAAACCCACTGTGTGATTTGAAAAGCACCGTGCTTGGAAGGCAAGCCCTGCCAAGGCTCTCAGCAAGTGAAGAGAGGTCTTCTGTCAGGGACAGGGGGCAGCCATTATTAATAGACACAGGGAGATCTTCTTGGTAGAACCGAGCTTAGCAAGCAAGATTCGGCTCTTAGTCATGTTTTAGTGCCACTGTAAATATATTTTGGTCCACTTTTAAAAGGTTAGAGCCATCATTTGGAGGTCTAGCATGTTTATAGCTAGTGAAGGCACACGTAAATCTAGGCGCAAAGGAGCGATGGGGCTGTCAAGGGCGGAAGCCGAAGTTGGGGGGAGACAGTTGGCAGATCAAGCAGGGACATCAGTTACCTGCTGAGTTGTGTAACTTTTATTGCTGCAGGGGGTGCGGAGAGGGTAGTATTACCAACCTATTGATCAAAGAAATACTTTATGGGACTGGTTTTGTTGGAAAGCCACTTAGAGAAGCAATTGGGGGGAGGCAGCAAGGCTCTAATCGCTCCCCCTGCCATCTAAGAGCCGACCAGCAAATCTGGCTGTCATATTTTCCGCTTCTTTCCTTGCTACTCCATGGGATGGGTTGTAGCTTAGCAGAAAAGCATCTGCCTTGCATGAGGAAGGTCCAAGATTCATTTCCCAGCATTTGCAGGTAGGGCTGAGAGAGACCGCGGTCTGAAACTCTGGAAAGCCAGCATGAACAACCTTGAGCTAGATGGGTCTGCCTCTGAATAAGGCAATTCCCTACATTCTGACTCGACCCAGCCCTTTATTCAGAATGATGACGCCTGGAACCCTACTTTATTTTTAGGGAAAGAACCGTGGCTCAGGGCACAAGCTTTGCATAAGCCCCAGCATTTCCAGGTAGGGCTGGGAAGGACCCCCATCTGGGAGACTGGTGAGCTGCTGCCAGTACAAGATGGACCAGTGGCCTGGCTCAGTGTAAGGAAGTTTCCAAGGTTCCTTGTCTGCCTTTGGGGTCAGAATGAATTTCTTTGCCCTTGCCCAGTCTGGTTTTGGATATCAGTAGTGGCGCTGTGGGTTAAACCACAGAGCCCAGGACTTGCCAATCAGAAGGTCAGCGGTTCTAAACCCTGTGATGGGGTGAGCTCCCGTTGCTCGGTCCCTGCTCCTGCCAACCTAGCAGTTCGAAAGCACGTCAAAGTGCAAGTAGATAAATAGGTACCGCTCCGGCGGGAAGGTAAACAGCATTTCCGTGCACTGCTCTGGTTCGCCAGAAGCGGCTTAGTCATGCTGGCCACATGACCTGGAAGCTGTACGCCGGCTCCCTAGGCCAATAAAGTGAGATGAGCACCGCAACCCCAGAGTCAGACATGACTGGACCTAATGGTCAGGAATCCCTTTACCTTTAAGGTCCAAATAACGACTTGTTTACTAGATGACTGAAGCTGTTGCTGGACTACAGCTCTCATCATCCCTGACCATTGACCATGCTGGCTAGAGCAGAAAGGAGTTAAAGTCCCACAATATTCAGAGGGCCACAGGGTACGGAACTAGGCCATGGTCTGGCTTAGAGTGACGTGCTGGCTGAGCTTGCATCTGACTCCAGCCACTTCCCTGGCCACTGCTTTGCTCTGGGCTCTGGCTGATGGACCACTGGGCTCTAGTAAATATACATATAGATGTTTCAAGTCTGGAGACTGCCCATGCCTGCCTTAGGACCCCCTTTGGCTTGCTGTTCACCCACTGAAAATGCAGGCAATGCCTGAGATCACACAAAAGCATACATAAGGAGAAAAAGTGTCAGTGGCCAAACACAGTAGAGAGTCAGCTGGTGGGGTATAGTGGTTACAGAATTGGACTAGGGACCTGGGAGACCAGGAGTCAAATACACACTCGGATGACCTGGGGCCAGTTACTGCCTCTTAGCTTAACCTGTTTCATAGCATTGTTGTGGGAATTCAATGAGGGGTGAGGGAAGAACCACTGACACCACCTTGAGCTCCTTGGAGAAGAGTTGGGATATAAATGCAAGAAACAAACAAACAAAGTTAAGACAAAGAGCCACTACAAAGTTATTGACCCAAGAAGGCTTGTGGATCATGAAGATCCAAGAGCTCAAGAAGCCAGTTCAGCCCCTGGGAGATGCACATTTCAAGCCCACTAGTGGTGGTGGGGTGATGATCCTGTCACTTACTTTGACGACATCTTCAGCAGAGGACTTGCATTCCACAGATTCAGAGATGTCCGTCACAGCACTGTTCTCTTCAATCGACACCACTTTGATGGGCACCGCAACTGTCTTCCCTGTGAGGATCGCAGTGTTCAGTATCTCTGTGTCCTGCAGGGCAAACAACAAAGGATTGCTGCCATTGCTTTGTTTGAGCGGAGCTCTTGAGATAACGAGGAAACCTGAAATGAAGTTCTACAGCTGCCTTGCCCATCCCGGTGCTTTCTCAGTGCTGTTGGGCAACAGCCCCCCCCCACTGGCTATTAGATCATGCTGCCCTAGGACATCTGGAAGGAACCAGGTAGGGGAAGGATCCTCTACACCAGCGGTTCTCAATCTGTGGGTCCCCAGATGTTGTTGGACTACAACTCCCATCATCCCTGAGGTCTGGCCTTGCTAGCTAGGAGTGATGGGAGTTGTAGTTCAACAACATCTGGGGACTCACAGGTTGAGAAAGGCTGCTCTACACCTTCCAGACTTAACCAATGAATATGTGTTGTATCTCTATAATGTTCTTGTGTGCACTATGGATTTATGGAGCTTGTTGCCACAGGGTTGGCCCCCTAGCTTAGACGACTTTAAAGGGGATTAAACAAAGTTGAGGAACGCAAGCGGTTCACCAATGGCCAAGAAGGTGAAATGAAACGACCACCACCATGTTGAAAGGCAAGGTGGACACTGATAACTGGGAGCCAGTGTGGTGTAATGGTTGAAGTATTGAATTAGGACCTGGGAGACCTTGGTCCAAACCCCTACATCACCTTGACCTCATTGGTGAAAAGGTGAGATATGAACGCAACAAATGATGTGAAACAGCAGTTGCTGGGTGAGGGGGAGCATCAGGATCTGGCTTTTGCTTTCATGCTCTGCTTCCAGAAATATGTGGCTGATCACTGTTGCAAATGGGATGCTGGATCAGGTCGTCCTGTGGCTCGATCTTGCAGAACTCTTTTTAGGTTTTGCATGCTAAGTGCATACTAGCAGGTGCAGAAGCAAGCACACAGGCCATACGACTCTGACAGTGATATCACAGGAATATAAGGAGGCATACTGGATCAGACCAGAGGTCCACCCGATCCAGCATCCTGTTTGCCATGGTGGCCAGTCAGATGTTGCCAGGAGGTCCACAAGCAGATCAGAAGCACATTAGCACTCTCTCAGTCATGATCCTCAGCAACTGGTATAGGCAGTCAGTACAGCAGACCTGCAACATTATTATTATTATTATTATTATTATTATTATTATTATTATTCACACATCTGGCTGGGTTGCTCCAAAATATCAACCATTTAAAACTTCCCTTCCCTTCAGATGGGACTGCAGCTTTGTGTGGGTGGCAGGAATACACACACACACACACACACACATATATAGGGAGCAACAGTTGGAAGGGGCCACCTGAGATCTCATGATTTCTCATGACTGATTGATTGATTACTGTATTTTTCCGTGTATAACATGCCCCCATGTATACCACTACTCCTATTTTGGGAGACTCAAATTTTAAAAAATGGGGGGAGATGGCCCAGAATTGTTGAGCTTTTTGGGGGGGAGCATTACCCAGAAATGTTGAGCTTTTAGCTTTTTTGGGGGGAGGATTGCCAAAAATCACTCACACGAATGAAATGCGTTGGAAATTGCGTGCGCCACCGATGCCACCAGCCCTCTGCCCACTCACCGCCAGCAGCCAGCAATCACACACCCAATTGCCGCAGCGGTAGCCAATCCAAAGGAGCCCTTGCCGCAGCCACCAATCACCCACCCAATTGCCACAGACAAGCTCCTGCTCACAGCTGCAACCAATCACCCGTCCCCCCTCTGCATTATCTGTGTATAAGACGACCCCTGATTTTTTAAATTATTTTTGAGTAAAAAAGCCTCATCTTATAAACAGAAAAGTACTGTATATTTCAAATGAATTCCAAAGCGACAACATAATAGAACATCACAAATAAAGTATTACTCATAGATGAAATAACCGGTGAAACAATTACAATCTATAAAACACCATAAACAAAGCAACAACTAATACATAAGCTCACCATTAAAGCAAAGTCACATTATATGATTAACAGATCAATACAGCATTTATAATTTCTAAAACAATATTAGCAATATTAACAAAACAGCAACCTAAAAAATAAACTAAGCACTACAAGTCCCATCATCCCTGACCGTTGGCTGTGCTGCCCAGGGTTGATGGGAGTTGGGAGTCCAACAACATCTGGAGGGCAGTAGGCTCTCCACCCCAATGCTGCTTCTACTCTCCATCCCTGCAACCTCTGGTAGAGAGGGAAGTGTGAGATTTTGGGGAGCCATGAGGTTGGTTTCAGAAAAAGTATTGCATAAACCACATAAATGTTGAGCCGCTCAGAGGGAACCTTCAGTGAGCTTCCCTATCTCTAACCCAGGGGTCAGCAACCTTTTTCAGCCATGGGCTGGTCCACCGTCCCTCAGACCATGTGGTGGGCTGGACTATATTTTTTGGGGGGGAATGAACGAATTCCTATGCCCCACAAATAACCCAGAGGTGCATTTTAAATAAAAGGACACATTCTACTCATGTAAAAACACCAGGCAGGCCCCACAATCACCCAGAGATGCATTTTAAATAAAAGGACACATTCTACTCATTTAAAAACATGCTGATTCCTGGACCATCTGAGGACTGGATTGAGAAGGTGATTGGGCCACATCTGGCTCCTGGGCCTTAGGTTGCCTACCCCTGGTCTTGGCTATCCACAGAAACTCTAGGAAGCACCATGGACAGCGTCACTTTAAGGCAGGGATGGGGAAATGTTTGGCCTTCTAGATGTTGGATTCCAGCTCCCACCAGCCTCAGCCAGCATGAGCAATGGTCAGGAATGACAGGAGTTGCAGACCACAACATCTTGAGGGCTACCGCTTTGGCCACCCTGGACCTAGACTAATTCCCCAGTTGAAACTGCCCAGGCAAAAGCAAGAAAGGACCTCCAAAACTTGAAAGGCAGCTCTTCGTGAACACAGTTTCTTTCAAAAGAGTTCTGATCTAAATGAAAAGCAGATTGCTTTTTCATGTAGTTTTATCTTTGTTGAACCCCGTATCCTGGTCTCCCTTTTGCAAAGAACTTCAAAGTTTGCCAGATGCACGTTTTCAACTTGCAGCCCTAGAAAATGACTGGAACATTTTGCAAAAGCAGCAACAGAGGTCACAAATAAGGAATTTTTTGTTTGTTGTCGACTTAAATATGGATCAAAGAATGTCCAAAGGTACCCATTGCTTCATTTCCAATTGTTTGAAAGCCATACCCTCCCCTCTAACCCCCACCCCCCCATCTTCAGATGCTTTGCTGCCAGTTTGATTCCTTCCACTGAGGAAGAAAAGAAAAAACAATGAAACAGTTGAGGTGGGAAATGAGGTCATCTCAGGTGAAGTTGCCCTTTGGCTATCATTTATACCAAAAGCTAGGATATCTTATTCAAACATTGTCATGCACTATTATGAAGCTGCAACCTCTGCCCATTCCCAGTGATGTTCCCACCTACCATGATTGTGTATGCTGATATTATGATTCTAGTCTATTCTTATTATAATTATTAAATATATATTTGCATGCTGCCTTTTAAGGGGACCCACCATAAGAAGCATTGGGCTTCTTAAGCTCACATTGTCCTGAAATAACCAGCCCCTTCTTCTGCCATCTCCACACCCCTCCCACTTAACCACTGTACAGTTACAGCTTGGTTGGGAGGGAATGTCTTTCAGCCCAAGGGCCACATTCTGTTCCAGGCAACTTTCCAGGGGACCACATGCCAGTGGCAAAAGTGGGTGGAGCTATTCATGCAAATACTACCTCTGTACAGTCGGCTAGTTTCTGCGAACACTTCTCTCTATCCTCTGCCAAGACAAACAAGAAGCATTTCCATAGATTGATGATACATTCTAGTCAGGTAAAGGCTCTCAGTGAGGTTGTGAATCAAGGCCAGTGGGGGACTGTGGCCTGCGGAGAGACGGTGTGGCCTGGGGAGAGTTTTGAGGGCCAGATAGAGAGGGCTGGAGGGCCACATTTGGCTCCCAGGTCAGATGTTCCTCATCTGTGCTGCAGATTTCTCTGGAAGCAGGTGCCTCTCAATGGGCCTTCCCCCCCCCTGAGTAGATATACCAAAGTTTGCACTGTGAACCATTTCTCTTTCCTATTCCAGGACTTTTGGCGAGTTTACGAATGGGTATTACAAAGCTATGGACTAACTTATGGAATTTCACTGGTTCCATTCTGACTCATGGATGCAAAATGGTCTACTTGTCTTTTATCGTATCTGTAATTAAGACACTTCAATCCCCTGCCCTCGGCTAATGGTTTCATTACAGAAAACCTGCATATGAATGGATTTATTTTGATTAATTACTTTGGGGACTTACATCTGGGAGGAAAGAAATCAAAGGCATGGCTTGTTGTGCTAATGGCTTGCTGAATTTTTATATCCCTGCCCCCAAACACTCCCACATAAACCAGCATCTAAAACTGCAAGAATAGCCAGCTTCAGGAGCATTCATTAAAAAGCATCTAACAGGTACCATTAGCATCATTACAGATGACTGACATTAGTCTGGGATGGGTAACTATTGTGCTAGCTCAACCAGAATACAGGAGTGGGAGGCTAATAGTTCATCTCTGTCAAAATCAATTGTGATTTATTAGCCTAGGAACTGTCCAAGTTCATAAATCATAGGGGTGCAGCCATTGGATTCAGAGGAATGTATTTTCCACCTCCATGTGTGCCACTGGGAATCACAGGTCTGTGTAACATGCATTCCCATTAGTCAAATGGCACCAGAGACCATGAGACAGAATCAAGTAGGTAGCTTGGGAGGAAGAAGCAACATGAAAGAAGTGTGGGAAAAATAGATAGAGAAATGCTTTAGTATCTCTCTCAAAACACTATAACTTGTGGATATCTAATGGAACTGAACGTTGGAAGATTCAGGGTAGACAAAAGAAAGGACTTTCTAAAAGAAGTGCCATGGTTGGATCACTTCCTGGTGCAACTGGACTTCTCCACGACCTTCCCCTCTGCAGGGAGGTCTTGTACTTTCACAATGATTTCTGCATTCGTGATGATGGTATAAATG